ATAGTAGTGCGACATAGTAGTACAACATTTTAAAAATTGTCGTTGGTCATGAAAATTAGTAAACGCGGTGCAGGTGCACACTGGCAAAAGGAGAAACGAATTATACGGTGAAATACTCTGCTGTGACAAACAAACCAAGTTCTTAGTTGTGCCCTGTGACCGAGCCGTTGCTTTACCCTATGCGTTGAGTACTTACCGGAGACAGTTTACTCTGTGCCGATCACAGCCAAAAGGTGCTCCTTTATACCTTGAGCGGAATGAATCTCGGTGTCTTATCTTTTCTTGATCTTGTCTGATGACATGTTGTGAAGTACAGCTGAAAGGTAGAGTTCAAGTGATAGGGTATCTCTTTGACGAAGGGAGAAGACGGGGAGGGTGCAACAGGGTTTTGATTGCGCGCAGGTCCTCTTCTGTTTTGGCGGCTTGTAGATTGTCAGCCAACGTTATCAAAAACTGTGCGCCGCCGGGCTTGGACCTCCGAGTGTAAGTGACACGGTGGAATCACTCGAGCGACTGGTGTCATTCTTGCCTTGACCCTAAATCGTCCGGGAGCCAACAGCCACCACCGGAGCGTGAATGCCCCGCAAATATGAAGTCGCGATGCCTTCTAACGACAAACTTGGCGCTGTGGCGCTGCGGTGCTATCCGGTCACAAAAAGTCACAAAGTTCAATCTGCGACTGTCCGGTTACACATAAGCTCGATCATCTGAAATGGCATTACACGAATTTCGATCTGCCCTTCGTCGGTTCCTGCAACCTATATTCATGTGCTCGCGCCAATCTCGCGGGTAGTAAAACACGTGCTCAATTCGAAATGAATCCCTGATGAAGAAAACTAAATGACACATCCTATTGTAAATAAGGTCGTAAGCAATTTGACTTTTTAAAAATCAGTTGTCAATGTGACTGGAAATTTAAGTCGTGTTTTTTGTAGCGTAGTTGCATACAAGATTTATCAGAAGTTGTTCACATTGGTTGTTTAGTTGAACGGGGTGTAAATATGGTGTGAGTTTGCCTAATCTACCAGCTCATAATGCGTCATGGCCCCTGCGACAAGATACGGTATGCAGACGTCCAACACTGAACATGGAGGTGCTCGCTCTGACCAACTGGTGCCTGGACTTAAACTATGTTGTCGGTGCGGTCACACAATGGATGTACACCGCAGAAAGTTCGGTTGACCACCAGAAAGCTTGCCAGCTGTATAAATATTGCAGACATTTATTGCAATTTAAACTCTGTTTGGGGCGCACTCAACTTAGGGGCGGTGAGCGGCACAGTAACACTGCAAGTGGCACGTCCCAGTACTGTGACATATTCTTTCCGGTCTTGATCGCTCACAATGCATCAAGACGGTAGGTCCATCATCCGCTATTTCGCACCTGCTGAGCGCCTGATGGGTAGGCAACATCTTGCGTGCACTGCATGTGTGTACTGCGGGTCGGCCTAACCCAGGTCTCGCAGGCGCTGAGCTGCCGTTATTTGTCAAACAGATCTCAGACAGAAATGGGTGTACTTTATGGACCCTCCGTATATTCCAAATTAATTAAATTCGTAACCTTAATATTACTTGGCGCCTTTCTTATGTTCGTAGACACATGATGGACGCACCAGGGTGTTGAAAATCAAAAGGTTGACGTGATCAAATGTAAAAATAACAGTGTTCATGATGATCATAACAAAAGATTAACGTATAATCTACTGGTTTTAAAAGCTTGGAATGTGAAATAAAGATCCTTTGGCTCTGGATCGAAATATTGTATGTTTCACTTGCAGTGACAAAACGAAGAACATCGTTGCAAGTACAGGAAACAAATTTCTCTACATAATTTACCGGTGTGGTGCCATCTCGCTGTCCCTAGATCAAAGCACGCACGCCGCAATGTGAGGCGCAGTGCCTAGTGAATTCAAGTATCACAAACTATTGTTTCGCGAATCTGGGGAAACCACGTCTCCCGTTTTTGGATGTTATTTTGAAACCTATACCAATCGATAGAGAAATTTTTACTCTATTGAATTACATAATTCCTAAAAAATCGTCCAAAATTATGAGACGTGGTTTCGCCAGAGTCGCACAACGGTACTTTGTTTCACGATCGACGCGCAAAGATACTTGACTTCACTAAGTGCGCTGAATCGTGCGCGCTGTGAGTTAAGGACAAGCGATGTGTCAACTCAATTTTCAATCATAGAAATCGTGTCTGTAAAGACACCATTTCGGTTAAGAAAGCACGCATACTCGGTACTATGCGTGATTGTTCGAGTAACGAAGTATCGGATCCCATTTATTCTTCGCCAACCAAGTGTGTTAGAGGAGCCTAAATG